AAAGGATATCCTCACTTTTAGCTCCCTTGGTTTTAGGTGAGTTAACTGAGGCCCAGAGGAGTCAAATGTCTTACCTTAAGGTAATATGACTAGTAAATAGCAGAGCTGGGATTTGAATCCCACATCCTCTGACTACAAATACAAGCGGCTTTCTACTTCACCGTGTCACTTCTACCCTCAGTATTCTGCTCAGGTTTGCAGGGGATAGGATGAATACAAAACTGCAAATGTGTGCTGATTAGGGGACTATATACTATGAGACTAACATTGTGCCTTTTTAAATCATCCTACATCTTAATTGGCTTTCCTTGTTTGTGCCATATGCATATTTGATGAACTTAAGCAGTGGATAGAGTTAGGAGGACTTGAATTCAAATCCAGCCTTAGATACTTACTAGCTCTGTGTGACCTGGGGCAAATCACTTAACCTCTGTTTGCCTCAGTTTCCTGAATTATAAAATGAGTATAGTAATAGTGTCTACTTCCTAGAATTATTGTGTGGATCAAATGAGATATTTGTAAAGCACTTAGCACAGTGTCAGAAAGTAATGACCCCCCCCCCAAAAAAAAAGCCTACATATAATATTTCAAGAAATCATAAGACAAAAATGCCTAAATCTCTTAGAACCAGGGGCAAGATCCTAAAAGAAGCCTCCAAATGAAAACTCCCAGGAACATTTAAGCCAAAATCTAGAGCTTCCAGGTCAAAATTAAAACATTGCAATCATTCAGAGTGAAAAAACTCAAGCACCCGGCAGTTACAGTTAGAATCACACATAATTAGCAGCCACCACTTTAAAGAAACAGTGAGCTTGGAATACTATATTCCAGAATAGCAAAGGGTATTGGTTTACAATCAAGAGTGATTTACCTAGCAAAGTTAAGTATGATTTCATGGGGGAGGAATTGGATCTTTAATGATATAAAGGACATGTCCAAACATTCTTGATGAAAAGACCAGAGCTGAGTAGAAACTTTGAAATATAAACACGGGAGTCAAGAGTAAAAGTGAAAAAGAACAAGTAGTCATAAAGAACCAAACAAATTGAACTGTTTATATTATAATATGAGATCAAATGTGTATCTTCTCAGAGCTTTATCATCATCAGGGATCATAGAGGGAATCTAATTAGAGAGACTGGGAATTGTTCTTTTGTGTTTGATGATCTTAAAATGAGAATAAAAAAGGGAGGGAAAGATAGGAAAATTATCTCATGTAGTCAGTGTTAAGCAAAAAGAAGTCTCTACAAACAAGGAGGGAAGGAGTAAGGTGGGGTGAACTGGAGATGCTTGACTCTTACTTTCATCTGAGCTGGTCAGAGGAATATACACACACACAGAGTTGGGGAAGACATGCATTTCACTCAACTGGGAAACAAGAGAGAAAGAAAGAAGGAGCAGGGAGCATAAGAGGCAGAGTAGATTAAGGAAGGGATTTGTTTTAAGTGAAACAAACTCTTAAGGAGTATAGATTTCAAAGAGGAACTTAAAAGAAAAGAAAGCAAGGATAAGAACCTGGTATTGGGCTCTGGATAATGGAGAGAGGAGCAGGAGAACAGAAGTAGATTACACCAAACCTAGAGCACTGGTGCCAAGCTCACTCCTTCCATCTTATCACACTCTTCCTTATAAAGCTGGGGATGGAAATTTTAGAGTATAAAAGAATATGATGGAAGGAAATACACAATCAGTATTCATAACTAATGAATGTAGATAGGATGAACTCACCCACAAAATGAAAGTGGATAGCAGAAGGGATTAGAAAGCAGAATCCAACATTATGTTGTTTATAAGAAATAAGCTTTAAATGGAAATGTGTACACAGAGTTAAAACAAGGGACTGAAGCAGAATATTTTATGCTGCACTGAAGTTAAAGAGGTAGTGGTAGCAGTCATGATCTCAAACAAAGTGACAGCAAAAAGAGAAAAGAAATAAACAGGGAAACTACATTTTGCTGAAAAGTTCCATAAACGGTGAATTAATACTAAAATTATATGTGCCTAATGGCATAGAATCTAAATACTTTTAGGAAATATTAAATGAGTTACAGGGAGAACTAGACAGTAAAAACTATAATAGTGGGGGGGCCTCATTTTCCCCCTCTCAGACTTAGAAAAATTTAACCAAAAGATAAAAAAGAAATGAAGGACGCAAATTATATTTTAGTAAAATTTGATATGCCTCTGCTAATTATTGAAGGAGAACAGAAAGGAGTATATATTTTTTAAGTGAGGGTTGTTAAGTGAAGTTAAATGAAGGTTCATGGTAGCTTCAGAAAAATTGACCATGTATTAAGCCATAAAAACCTCATGAAGACAGAAACATAGAAATATTAAACACATCTTTTATGGACCACAATGCAGTAAAAATTCAGTAAAGGGCCACTAAAGAAACAATTGAAAATTAATTGGAGACAAAGAATTTAATAAAGAATGTGTGTCAAAGAACAGATATTAGAAACAATAGATAATTTCATTAAAGATAATGAGAGAAGGTAAACACATTTTGGAGATGCAGCCAAAAGAAAATTTATATCTTTAAAAACTTTCATCAGTAAAAGAGAGAAAAAGCAGATCAGTGAATTGAGCATGCTACTTTAAAAAATTTGGAAAATGAACAAATTAACTCCCCTCCCCAATTAAACACCAAAAAATAAATCCTTTTAAAGGAGAGATTAACAAAATTGAAAGCAAAAAATCCCATTGACTTAGTAAAACTAGAAGCTCTTTTTGGAGGGGGAGGTGGGAAATGAAATAGATAAACCATTAATTAGATTTTCAAAAAAGAGAGTACAACAGTAACAGCAACATTGTGCAATGATCAACTTTGATAGACTTAGCTCTTCTCAGCAACATAATGATCTAAGACAATTCCAAAAGACTCATGATGGAAAAATGCTATCCACATCCAGAGAAAGAACTATGTAGTCTGAATGCAGATCAAAGCATACTATCTTCTCTTTTTTTTTTCCTCATGGTTTTTCTCTTTTTTTTTTCTGATTGTTCTTTCACAACATGACTGTTGTGGAAATATGTTTAATATGATTGCACATGTATAGCCTATATCATATTGCTTGCTGTCTTGGGGAGGGGGAAAAGAGGGAGAGAGGGAGAAAAAAAATTGGAACTAAAAATTTTATAAAAATGAATGTTGAAAACTATCTTTACATGTAATTGGAAAAAATAAAATACTATTAAGTGGGAAAAAAACCAAAAAAGAGAGTACAAAACAAATGATCAGTATATAAAAAATGGAAAAGGTGAATTCATAGCCAATGAAGAAATAAAAGAAAATATTTTGAAGTATTTTGTTCAGTTGTATTTCAATAACACTGATAATTTAAATGAAATAGCCAAATATTTACACACATGTAAAATGCCTAGATTAATAGAACAAGAAAGAAAGGACTTATAAAACCGCATCTTGGAAAAAGAATTTGAACAAGTTGTAAATGAACTCACAAAGGAAAAAAAAATCTAGGATCAGATGAATTTACAAGCAAATTCTACAAAATATTGAAAGCACAATTGATTCAAATTGTACATAAAACTGTTGGAAAAAAATAGAAGAGTAGTAATCCTACCAAATGTTTTCTGATATAAATCTGATCCTGAGACACTATGACCAGGTTGAATTTATAACAGGAATGCAGGGTTGGTTAAATATTAGGAAAACTATAAATAGAGTAGATCAACAAAAACAATACGATTAAATCACAGAGGCAGAAAGATCTTTTGACAAGATAGAACACCCATTCCTGTTACACACACACACACACACACACACACACACACACACACAGTAGAAAGCATAGGAAATAAATGGATCTTTCCTTAATATGTTAAATGTGATGAGCAGTAACTACCTAAAACCAAGGGCCATTGAGTCTCCTAGGTGCAGTATTGCCCACTTTTCTAAATAATGATATTTTGATCTCTTCGTTTAACATGTTAATCATCTTGTGTCATGACGCAGTCACTAACATTTCCTATACTATGAGAAATGATGTGTTAAAAGTAGGCACCTTTGTTTACTACCTGTTTTTTTTTGTAGGTGAAATGTGTCTAATGTATTTTCATTGTATTTAATATTGAATCTTGTTCTGAAGAAGAAACGTTATTGGGTTGAGGAAACATCGTTTTTTAAGTCTTGGTTTCTAACTTGATAACATTAACAAAAGCAAGCATTTACGTTTACAAAGAACAGGAAAGAGGATTGTATATCAAAACTACCAATCTCTATTATACATAGCTTGTGTTTTTTAAAGTATATATTACATTTTATACAGTAGTTCCAAAGCTTTCATCCTCTGAACTCTTCTGTGATTATTTTAAACATTTCACTGGTATGCCAACTCCCCTCCTCCCCCCAACACTGCCTCCAAAAAAGGCCCTCCTTTATAACAAATAAGCATAGTCAAGCAAGACATCCAACTATTTACTATGTCTGAAAAGAGATATCTCATTCTGTACCTCTAGGCTATCACCTGTCAAGAGGTAGGCCCATGATTCGTCTTTGTTCTTCTGGAGTAATGGTCTTTTCACTGATCAGAGTTCTTAAATTTTCAAAATTGTTTTCCTTTACAACATTATAGTCATTGTTTATGGTGTTCTTCTGGTTCTATTCATTTTTTTTTTCCAATTCATAAAGTTGTCCTAGGTTTCTCTGAATCCATCCCTTTCATCATTTCTTAGGGTGTAATAATATGCTATTATGGTAGCCATTCCTTTTCTTTGGAATGTCTTTTATAATAAATGGAGGTTGGATTTTATCGAAGACATTTTCTGCATCTATCACTATCACACTTTGTGTTTTTAAAAGTGGTCTCTTTTCAATTAGACTGCTAACCGTGAAAAATGTGGGGAAAGTGGAAAAAGGTAATTAGTTCTGTTTATTAAGCTTAGTTCTGACCATAAAATACTTGTTATTTCTAAAGCCATAGCTTACTAAAGCTTACAGCATTTTTTCCCCTTGAATTTTTTTTTTTTGAACATTTCAGAGGTTCAGAGGAGCTCTGAAGAAATAGAGACAGAAGCAGAAACGGAAGAGGAAGAAGCCTTTTGGAGTACAAGGATCTTACCCGTCTTACATGAATTAGAAAAGGGTAGGAAGCATAATTTTTTTTTTTACGTATCATATTTGTCAAAGGGATCTCAGAAAAGAAAATTGTTTGTGCTCTCCCCATTGCCATTATGTTTTTTAATACACTGTGCCCATCATCCTGTACTTGTGCCTAACTTCAATACCTCACCATAGTGTGGAGGTGACCCCACGTTCTCAAAATGTATTCCAGCAAAATGCAAGTTCTCAGAGGTCCAGCCAAGCTGGAAATGCCATGAGTATGGACCTGTTGACAGATTTCATCTTTTTTTTTTCCCTAAGAACTAGTTCTGAGACGTCTAATGTTAGATTAATAGGCTGACTTCAGAGAGATTAGTAGGCTGACTTCAGATTGATGGAATTTTCAGCTAGGGCAGTTATTGAGGATTTTCTACTATGTTATAGAGGGTTGGGGAAAGTGTCAGTGGAGAGAAATTGCCTCCATGAGTAAAATCAGAGATCCTGTGAAATAAATACTCATCAGAAACTTTAGTGGACATGTCCAAACACATACAGGGATTTACTTCATTTTAACCAATAGCTTTGTTCCTGTAAGCTGCATATAAACTAAATTCTTTTTGTTTTTTGTTTTTTGTTTTTTGCTAAGCGATGGGGTTAAGTGACTTGCCCAGGGTCACGCAGCTAGTACGTGTCAGAGTGTCTGAGGCCAGATTTGAGCTCAGGTCCTCCTGACTTCAGGACTGGTGCTCTATCCACTGCACCACCTAGCTGCCCCCTTCTTTTTTTTTTTGGTGAGGTGATTGAGGTTAAGTGATTTGCCCAGAGTCACGTAACTAGTGAGTGTTATGTGTCTGAGGCTGGATTTGAACTCAGGTCCTCCTGACTCCAGGGCCAGTGCTCTATCCATTGCACCACCTAGCTGCCTCATAAATTAAATTCTCAGTAAATAAAACCTTACTTTAATTATACTAAGAGGACCTACTGTTTAAAAGATTCCTGGAATGAATCATTTTGTAAAAAAGCAAATAACCATTTCCCACTGTGAATAAAAGTCCTTTAATTTGTTGTTTTTGTAAATTAAGATTTTCATATTTTAAATTTTCTTACAGTTGGCCATGCTATGATGCCTCAGTCTGCCATATTCCATATCATAAAAGGGCATTTAAATGTATTTAGCTCTTTGCTCTTTGGATTTGTTTTAATTTTTAAAAAAATAAAATCATATGTCAAATAGAAAAAGGATTTAAAGTGATTTTTTAAAACAAACACATTAAGTGGTCTGTTAACAATTGCACACTTCAGGCATTTTAATAGCTGAACATGATTTGTTTAATGTGGCATATCCCCAGTGTTACAAAGATGTAGGATGATCTACAGAAGGCATTAAAAAGTGACTATTAATTTCCATCTACCTTGCTCTTTAGAGAGGGTCAGTTAATAAATTTTGGGGGAATCTTGAGTGTGTATGTATGGCTCATGCACATAAGTATTCTTAACTAAGTTTTGTTTTTATTTTTAATCAGATCATGGTACTTTATCAAATACACAACTAATCCCTCAGTAGATATTCATTTGAAAATATTGTGTCCTTAATGAGTGAGAAGGGGAAAAGATTTGTTTTTTGCCTATGCAAAAATGACTCATTTGCTGAGAGTCATAATTCTCTATCTAATATTTTTGTGGTGGGTCTCCTTTTGATCAGGAAAAAAATAAAATGTTTTTGTGTTAAAAAAAACAAGCAAACAATTAGGATATGTATAATTATTGGCTCTTAATAACTCTTACTTATTAGACTACAGTGGTTTAGGCATTTCAATGTAAATAGCATGAAAATTGCTCAGGGTATCATATGCATGCATATACATACACATATGTGTCTATACATATAAATACACACATATATATGTTGCTGAGCTACCCTGATGTTTGATGAATGGTCATACTGAACTAAGAGAAATGACAAGAACTTAGCTATAACTTGAGTGTGCCAGGGGAGGAAGGTAACCTATTGCAGGATCAGTGACTTCCCTCCTCCTCCTCCTATGGCAAGAAATTCATCATACCCAGAGCCCAGCAATGTTCCTCTGTTGACTTGAGACAAGAATTCTTGTCACTTTAATAACTGAGATCAAGTTGTATCCTTTGACCTGAACCTCTCTTCCATTCCTCATCCCCATGTCCTGGGGAAATCTCATTTTGGCCTCTCCTTGTTGAGTTAAAACATGCCCATGTTAAAGAGCTGTTGTGTTCAGCATCACTGGTCCATTTGCCTTTTCTTTGAAATCCTCTTAAATCCCCAAATTTGCTGCAGTAGACTGGGACAGATAGGTATTAACGGTTCTTTGTCTCCATAGAGTATAATTCAAGAGGAGAGAGGTTTTAAATTTAACAAGATAAATTGAGATTTTTACATAAGGGAAAACCTCCTGACAAGAATGGGGTATTAAACACTAGAACAAGATGTCAGTGGAGAATGTTGTATCTACACACATCAATGTCTTGAGTGGCTACCATTTGGAGCAGGAAATGGTTTAGATGGTGTCTTTAGATTCCTTTTACCTCTTGGATTCTATGATATGATGAGCATCAGCTCTTGGAGGTGGGATGTATGTTCCCTGATAGTTTGAGAATTTGTTTTTTACAGTAGTTTAAAGAATTAACTCTAAGGACATATTTCTTTTTCCTTTGGGTAAAATAATGATTCTTTGAAGGTAGCAAACCAAAAAAAATGTGCATGTGAAATATCTGGGAAAAAACCTACTGAAGATAACCCACAGTGGGCTGATATGTAGGGTTTCAGGAGAAATTGCTAATCACAGAAGAATTAAATAACAAAAACATTTCTCGTAATAGAATTCATTTATTTTCTTCCTTTAAATTTAGTCTCAAGCCATTTCCCACCAATTCTTTTATTTAAGTACATAACTGTTAGGCATTGAAGGTTACTTAGCTATTGAGGTTAAAATTTTTTTCTTAGATGTTATTGTTGAAAAGAGCTAAAAATGGACTGAGTCATTTCCTTCTGCAGTTGCATGCTTCCTTTATGTGAGATTTTAAGGACACATTATATTTATTTCAGATTGGTTTCATACTTTTTTAAATTTAGTGATGAAATCTATTAGTAATGCCATTTATTTACAACCGAAGATCTCATGCTTTGGCTTCTTTTAGGTTACTCCTTGGGTTCAGTTTTATGTGCTCCATTTTTTTTTTCATTACTTACCAGCCAAGATACCAGTTGGAAAAATTGTACTTCCTGAAGATTCTAATAGTAAAATAAATATTCTTCTTAGTTGTCCTGTCAGCTAAAATATTTTTTGATCTTCATGATACTATCTCCCTCCCCACCCCCAAATGTTATTACATCAGGTAAGTTAGGACCCACCATTGATGTGAGAATACTTTGAAATCTTATTCTGTTTAAAACCTGTTTTTCCCTGGTGATGTGTTTTTTTCATAGTAGAATAGTGTAATATATGGCATTCAAAAAAAAGCCAGTGTGATTTTAGACTGCATTAAGAGAGGCAGTGTCTAGATTTCGAAAAAAAAATCTTAAAGCTATGCAAAAGTAGAATAGCCAATGGCAAGAAGTGGAATATTCTGTCTCTAGAGGTGAGGAAGACTTCTAGAAAAGACTAGATGACCACTTGATGAGTGAGTTCTAGAAATGATTATTGGTCAGATACAAATAGGGCAAAATAGTCTCTAAATTCCTTGAAAATTTTGAGATTCTTCTGCTATTATGCCACCAGTAAATTTGATAAACATATGGCTTATACTTATATCTAAGTCATTTATAAAAATATTGAATGGCAGTAGGCCCATGGACAAGATCCCCAAGTCACTTCCCAAGAGACCTTTCAGAATGATGTTAGTCTATTAATTGCTGTTGTGTCTGGTAAGACAGCTAATTTTTTGTTCACCTAATTATATTAACTTTGCTGTCATCAAACTGGTATCTCTCCTTGTCCAAAAGGATAGCATAAGAGATTTTGTAAAATTCTTTGTTGAAATCTAAATGTGATATGTTGACAGCTTTCCCTGAATACCTCTCAAAAAAGGAAAAGAGGTCAACCTAACATTACCTCTTCTTGATGGTGCCATATTGGCTCTTAGATATTGCTGCTTCCCTTTCTAAATATTCAAAACATCCTTTTAAATAATACGTTCTAGAATTTTTTCAGGAATAGAAGATAAGTTCCTCCAATAAGCATTTATTGAATGCTTATTATGTACAGGGGACTGGTGATTAAGAAATTTAATATTTGGTTTCTACTCTTGGAGGCTTGCCATCTAGTTATAGAGATAGGACCAGGGATAAATAATAATACAAAGAGTAACAATACAAAATAACATGTGATTTACTAATTCTATAGATAATAAATGCTTTAAGAGTTTGATGGGTATTAGGGTAGATGTAGAATGTTTCATTCAAAAATTGGGATTTAAGAATATTCTTATAAAAGGAGTTGAGGTTTTATAAAATAAAGATAGATACAAGAAGGGGAGAAATCCCATTTTTGTAGTGACTTGCAGGCAGACAAGTAGAAAATATGGCTAGAGTGGCATTTGTAGGCTATTAGATGCAAAGAAGACAATAATAAAAGATATCTTCCATTCTTATTTTCCCCTGTAAATTTTGGACAGATTTCAAATGAGAATTTTCTTATTTTCTGATCAGTTAGTATGATTGGTCTGCAAAGTTGAAGGGATAAATCAAACCATTAAAAATATAAACTCTGAATAGTTTGAAGAGGTGGTAAGGGGGGTGGCAAAACGCAAAGTTTTATAGGCCTCATGTGGAGGTTTTACTGTATTTTTTGTGTTGACAGGCTGAAAAGATTAGTCTTTAATGGTAAATGATGTTTTCTTCCCTTTGCTCTCCTAACAGAAGACAATATTGAAAATTTTTGTGTTGCCTGCACCCAGCTTCATCAAGCTTTAGAGGAAGGAAGCATGCTTGGAAAGAGATTTAAGAAAAGGAGTGTACTTCTGAAGACTTTATATAAACTAGTTGATGTTGGTTCAGACTTGCTTAGCCTAAAACTTGCGAAAATTATTCTAGCTGTAAGTTTTTCTTTCTTATGAATTAGTAAGTTGCTTTAAAAAGAGGTTCGCTCTCCTATATATTTACAAGTACCACAATATTAGTTGGAAGTGAATTTGGAATCTGAAATCAATGGTTACAAGAGTGACTTCTACAGGTAGAGTGGAAATCTAAGGTTGAAGACATAAACATTTTAAGACTGAACACGTGATTAAGTTTAATTACTCATTCTGTAACATTCTGATTAGTATTTTATTCTTATGATATTCTGATATCTAGTCTGTTCTGATCAGTATCAGATAGTTAGACTCAATAGAAAGTATTCTGCCTCATGATTTCATCAATACTTAAGATTTTCTGGTCCAGTAAGAAATAACAGCAACTTTCTTCATGATATAATTGTAAAATAGTGACAATACACATGTGTGTGAACTTGAAAATGTGAATTCCATTCTGATACCAGGACGGTTTGTAAGTAGAAGGAAAAGACAGGCATCAGGACAGAAACCTTAGCTTAAATAAAATGATATAAATGACAGAAAGGAACACTATATTCTAAGCATGAACAATTTGATGAAAAGATGACACAATTATCAGCAAGCACTTTGAAAGAATCATTAAAATAAATGTACAGAATTATATCTACCTATAAGGTAAAAACTTTTATTATTAGGACCCTAAACATCATTTTAACATCTGAGTACATGCAGAAAATGATTGTTAATAGTTATTAAAATGAATATCAACATATCCCATCCATCTCATCTTTTTTTATATTATCTTAATTGGGAGTTGCAGTACTACATGTTTCTTTAATTTTTGATGCTGTGATTAATATTCTAATCTAGAATGTATATCAGATTTCAATTTGATGCAAAAGAGATATGTAACATGCAAAAGAAATGTTTGTTTGTAACTTCATCATGTTCTCTATGTTGATGTTTTTGTTATGAATATGAGAAAAGATGAGGGGACAATTTTTAACTTAAAAGGTTAAAAAATCATTTTGAATTTTTTTTAATCTTTTAATGAAAGTTTTCATAAGGCAAATAGTCTGGATTGAATTTTATAGGTAAATTTTAGAGGAGTTATATTTTTAATTATCTGCTATTTAAAATGTTCAACCTTCCTTTGGTTGTAGGCTGCCTGGAGTCAGGAAGACTCTTCTCTTTTTGAGTTCAAATCTGGCCTCAGACACTTAATAGCTGTGTGACCCTGGGCAAGTCACTTAACCCTGTTTGTCTCAGTATCCTCATCTATAAAATGAGCTGGAGAAGGAAATGGTGAACCACGCTAGTATTTTTGCCAAAGAAAATCCTGAATGGGGTCGCAAAGAGTCAGACACAACTGAAAAACAACTAAACAATGAGAAACAAAATAATATTCTGTGGAAAAAAATCTTCTAGAATAGGAGTTCTTAACTTGAGGACATCGTGAACTTGATTTCTAAAGAATATTTTTATAACTCTATTTCAATATAATTGGTTTCCTTTGTAATCCTACCTATTTTATTTTATGCATTTAAAAACATTATTCTAAGAAAGAGATCCGTAGGTTTCACCAAACTGCCGAAGGGGTTCGTGGCACACAAAAGGTTAAGAACTCTCATTCTAGAAGATAATGGTTTGTAGAATGCTTATAAAAACTGCTTCTCTCTCTTAATAATTAGAAAAATAAAATGTAATTAAAAGTCATAATAGTACATTCTTGATTAGCTGGAAGCAATGTACTTGAACTCCCTAACTAAGGGAAATCTTTTCACCTAACAACCCTCTCACTTTAAAGTGAAAGTATCAAAAGATAAGAAAATAAGGTAGAATTGGGAATTTAGTAAAAAAAAAAAAAAGAAACCACAAAGTCAAAAAAGCATCTTCCAAGGTGTGCCTAAGGGGCGATATATAATCAATCCGACGTTCATCCTATAGCTTCTACATTGTTTGTTAATTAATTTAAGTCTGCACCAAATATGCTGTTTGCAGTGAAAATTAGGTACCTATTAATGATCCTGAGATACTGAAAAATTCTGAACCATTAAATTACATGTTAAGAAAGCAGCATAACACACTTTCAAGTGATTTCCAACAAAAGGGATTTTATGATTAACCATCACTTACAATGAGAAAATGCAGTGGACTAAAATACCTCATTCCCTGGCATTTTGGCCGAGGTTTTTGTTGTTACAGTTCAGTTATTTGTATTACTTTAGTTAGAACATAGAGCTAAGCTGAACTGGTTTGGTTTTCAACCAAACTTAGAAGCATTAGTTTGTATTTTAATTAATTATTTAGGTCTCTGAAGAGACAAGATACCTCCCTTCTAGATGGGGTTCCTCCTCTCTAAATGAAAAGAAAAACATTAGCCTGAAGTCAAAAGGGTGGCTAGGTGGCATAGTGGATATCTTACAATCAGGAATACTCATCTTCCTGAGTTCAAATCTGGCCTCAGACACTTAACTATCTGTGTGACCTTGGGCAAGTCAGTTAACCCTGTTTGCCTCAGTTTCTTCATTTGCAAAATGAGCTGGAAAAGGAAATGGCAGACCACTCCAGCCCAGAAAACCCCAAATGAGATAATGAAGCATCAGATATGAATGAAACGACTGAGTGACCACAAAGCTTAATATAAGTTAATAATATGCCAAGAAAGCTTTTTTTTTTTTTTTTGGCAGAGGTGTGGAGAGTGTTTGGCCAGTGATTTTCATCAGTATGGAAAATTCCCGGTATGGAAACTACATTCACCAATACAGATTTGCAATTCACCTAGCCTTTGAGAAGTTAAGTGATTTGCCTGTGGCCACACATGTAGTATATGTCAAAGCAGAACTTGAATCCAGGCCTTCTTGACTCCCAAGGCCAGCCCTCTCAGTGTTCTGTGCCATATTGCCTCTCTTAATCAACCTGTATTTACTAAATTCCTACTATGTACCAGGGGCTAATTAATAGAATCATGTCTTTAATGTGTCATATCTATTCTGCACTAGCTAGACCACATTCAGAGCAGTGTTCAGTTTTGCATACCACATTTTAGGAGTGACATTGGCAAGCTGGGGTCTCTCTAGGGTACAGGGGAGTGGAGGATCTGAACCCCATGTCATAAAGAAACTAGATATGCATGGTCTTGAGAGAAGACTTAAGAATAGAATGTAGAGAATGAGAGAGTTATCTTCAAGTATTTGTAGGCCTGTCACATGGAAGAGACTGAGAATCTTGGAAAGGTCAACAAAAGTCATCTATCAGAATGTACGTGAACCCTGACCCCTTTCTGCAGCTGCCCTAATAAGCAATCTCATCTGTCCTTAGCTTGAAGACTTTTCAGTGGCAGGGAGGGAATTCTTTCTCTCTCAAGGCAACCCATTTCATTGACTTAGATAGCTGTCATTGCTGAGGAGTCTTCTCCCCTACTGAGCCAAAAATAACCTCCTAATTTCCACTGGGAAGTCCTAATTCTGTCCTGTGAGGCCAAACAGAAGGGATCTAATTGCTTTTATACATGGAAACTTTTCAGTTATTTGATAACAGTGATCATACATCCCCCTAAGTTTTATCCCTTCTTCCTTCAGCTAATGTTCGTGTGACATGGTTTTGAGTTGCCTCACCATTCTCATCATCCCTTATCTGGATGTGCTCAACCTTCTAAGTGTTTTTCTTAAAATACTACTCTACCAGAACAGATTCAGGCTATCTTGTGTGGTTCCACTAGGTAGAAGTTACAGGAAAGTTGGATTGGGGTTAGTGTAAAGAACTTTTCAACAATTTGAAGTGTCCAAAAAAAAAAAGAAGAAGAAATTGGGTTGTGATATTGTAGATCATAGATTTAGAACTAGAAGGGAACTTGAAGGTTATCCAGTCCTTCATGTTGAGGAAAAACAGGCCTGGACAAGTGATTGACTTGTTACAGATAGTTAGTGCAAGGTTACATAGATAGTGTCAAAGCCAGGATTCAAAACTAAGATCTACTGAATCTGAAACCATTATTATTTCTGCTGTACCATATAAGGAGATCTGTCTTGCAAGAGTTTGCAGGTGTGGGGAACCTGTGGCCTTGAGGTCCTCAAGTGCGACCTTTTCTTCAGTCAAAGGGCTGTACTTGAGGACCTAAAGGGCCACATGTGGCCTTGAGACTGCAGGTTCCCCACCCCTGGCTTAGACCAATTCACTTAGATAGTCATGGATGCTTGTGTGTTGGGAGGAGGGGTTTAGACTATATGTAGTATCTAAGGTTTCTTTGTCAAAAATTGTCATCCCTCTTGTTTATCAAAATTACCTCTTAGAATTTTGAAGTGTGGCTGATTCATTTTCAGAACTCTCAGTTTCGATTTTAAAAATAACTTTTCCAGCACTATTTTTAATAGTTGTTTCTCTATTGTTTTTCTTTAAAAGTAGAAAGTTTTAATTTTCCAACCAAAATAGAAGTGTAAAAATTTTTTTTCTTCCGCAGCTTAAAGTAAGTGGAAAGAATCTTCTCAATGTCTGTAAACTCATATTTAAAATTAGCAGGAGTGAGAAGAATGATTCTCTCATCCAAAACGATAGTATTCTTGGTAAGTGTCATTCAGCATTACCATTTGTCATATACTTTTTTTAACTAAGTGTTGAACTTCTTTGGGGGGAAAAGGGAGAAAGTTATGATTAGTGGTTGCTAGAATGAAGCGGCTATATAATGCATATTATTTGTTTTGTCTTCTACTTCTTCACATTCAACTTTAAATTTTCCTTGCTTAATTCCTCTCAGAGGGCACTACACTATTTAGGTGCTTATAGGGACTTTTTGGTATCATGGAAATGTGTATGTTTGTAAACATTCATTTAAAAAAAACTTTATTATTTTACTTTGAGAGTAGTTTACTTTTTAGACCATGAGTACTTGAATATTAAATCTTTTATATCATACCAGAAATGATAGAAAAATAGATGGTAGCATGAATAGGTTAAAAGACAGTTATGGAACCTCTTAGTTTCAGAGTGTATTTTACTGTGTTTTTGGCAGACATGGAGAAAGCGACCAAAAGCTTACTTATTAACCGATTTAAAAATCTCTTTGGAGCAATTAGAGAAAAGAAAATTCTTAAGGTGATGCCCCCTTCCCAAGTAATTGAGTTGCAGCTTTTGTGGTCATTATATGATTTGGGTTAATGTAAACTATGTTGGAACAACACAAGAAAATGGAAAACAATTTGAAGGTCTCTTTTGAAAAGGAGAAAGTATATCTTTTCTCCATCAGTGGATAAATAAAAATAAGAAATATCTAACCTTTGATTAATTGAGAATGTGGGGGCAGAAAGGGTAGAACAGTTAAAAGTGACTTTAAACAAAATATGAAATTAAAACAGTTATTTTATTGTGGGCTTTGTTTCCAAAAATCTAGTTTTCTACAGTTACAGAATCATAGAGTAGAGACCTAGTCCAGTCCTCTAATTTTCTAGCAATTTGTCCAAGCCCTTATAGGCAAGATGTCATAGAGCTACGATTCAGACTCCTCTGTGCTCTTTCCAGTCCCCCACAAATCACTGGGCCTATATTCAAGGTGTTGCCCGCTTTGGCAGGAAGGACCTACCTACTTTTGGAGAACACAGGACTGCCTCTGGTCCATGATGAAGAATTGGTAGATGGACTGAAGCTCTAACCCAGTACAATGTTGCTTTTTTTAAAAGTGTCTTTTCATCTCCTTGTCCCTTGGCTAGACTTACCTGTTTCTTGCTTTAATCTGTCCTTGCCTTGCCCTTCTTGGGTCATAAGCCACTCAGTTTACTACATGGCCAAGGTCATTCTTTTCCCAGATGCCCTCCTGGCTTTAGCTCAGCTGAGGGTTGATCTATTCCCTTTGGCAATGACTTTAGGAACTTGAGGTTGGCTTTTGGAATCCAGGATCCTCACCCAGTTGTTAAAGTAGTGAACCCCAGTTTTCCTTACCCCAGGGAGATCTCTGCAGTCTTTTAAGTTATCTAGATCTGGACTTCCTTGGGGAGAGACTGGAGTGGAAGAGCGTTTTCAGACACCCAGAATTCAGAAAGGAGTGGTGCAGGCACACAATGGTAGTAACTGACCCTACTATACTATTCTTTCTTATCATCTCCTGTTATGTTCCTGGCTTTTGCTGCCTTGAGTTAGGAACAAAGTTCTACTTGCTTTAATCCATAATTCTAGGAAATCTTCGTCTATCTTGAAATTCTTTTGTCTCCTCAATCAACAAGCCTTTATTAAGCACCCACTAGGTGGCAGGTGCTGTTCTAGGTATTGGGGATACAAAAACAGTAAAACAGCCTCTGCCTTTAAGGAACCTAGGCTGTCGGAGGAGACAAAATACTATAATATCCATTCAAAAGAAAGAGTTTGAAGCATTTGCGAAAGAAATGCAAGGTCATTTTGGTGGAGGAGAGGGTGGCGTTGGAGGGGCCTCTTATCTTAAATGATGTTTCTTTTTTTAGATCTTGGGTCTATGGTTGATAGAAATTTTGTTCTTAGATTTGGGTTTCTAACAGTGGCCCCCAGTTTGCCATCCATGGCTAGTTGAGGACTAAGAGGTAGTTGAAGATTTTCTTTTCATAGAATTAATATCTTCTCAATGTATTCTTTGTGCATGTTAGGGCTCACCTTGATCAGCAGTGCACATTTGCTCATGGTCCAAAGACATTTTTCCCTGCATTTAAAGCTGGACCAATGTGACCAAATGCAAATAGGATTCGACTTACCATTTGTCAAATGCTGCTCCTAAGTAATTCTTATTCATTCATCTGAATGAGTAACAGTTTAAAATCCTTGTTTTGGGTTTTTTTTGGTTGGGCAGTGGGGTTAAATGACTTGCCCAGGGTCACACAGCTAGTAAGTGTTACGTGTCTGAGGTCGGATTTGAACTCAGGTCCTCCTGAATCCAGGGCTGGTTCTGTATCCACTGAGCCACCTCGCTGCCCCCTGGTACCTAATTCTGAAAAATTGTGCAAATCCTCCTTCCATTTTTATAGTTATCAGTCTCCTCTTCTTCCTCTTCCTCTTCTTCTTCTTCCACTTCTTCCTCTTCCTGTTCTTAAGTGACTTGCCCAGAGTTGCACAGCTAGTAAGTATCAAGTGGATTTGAACTCAGGTCCTCCTGACTCCAAGGCCAGAGCTCTATCTACTGCATCACCTAGCTGCCCTGCTGTTTTTCTTCTTGATTGAGGTTTTCTGCCTCCAAGTATTTCTGCTCAGTAACAAACAGATTTTTTAAAGGAGGGATTGAAATATAATTCTAAAATCCCCTTTGATGTCTGTTATTCTTTATAACCCCAAACTTCTATAACTGAATGAATTTTGGAAAAATCATTAAGAATATTATTTAATAATGCCTTTTTAAAATACATGGGTTAATGGGGTCAGCTTTTTTCCCAATCGTGTTACTAGCTTGAAATAGGTTTAGTTGGGCAGGTAGAAATAGGTTTTCTCTTTGCAGTGTATGAGTAACAGTGTCGAGAGTATTTGCCCGTGGACTCTGACTCATCACTAATAAGTTTATTCTTAGTGTGCATATGCAAAAGTATATCTATGTGCTTCAAAGTGGTTACATTTTTTTCAGAATTTGGAATATGTTAAAAACAAATTTGAATAACACAAAATGAAACATATTCCTTCTAATTAGACCTCTTTTCTCTAGATTCATTGTTGGAGGTGCTACGAGTAGAAGACCTTCACACTAATAATGAGGCTTTTTTGTACTGCATGGGGGCTATTAAATTCATTTCTGGGAATCCAAGATTTCTTAATGAAATGATCAGCAAAGGTGTTGTTGAAATGCTGTTACATTTGATGAAGCAGATAAATGAGAACGCGAGGAAATCTGAGGCATGGTCCTCCAGCTCAGGGCACTTGTTAGTCCAGGTAAGTGTTTTAACTTCTAAAACAGGGGCAGTAAACATATATGTATGTGTGTGTGTATGTGTATGTATACATATATAATTATTACATTAAATATGTTATTAAAACAATAGTTTTTATTATTCATTTCAACAATTTAACTTTTTTCAACTTCATGGTAGTTACTAGAGTACTCTGTCCAATTCCAGGCTTCTCTTCTTTGTTTTAGAGAGTGTTTGTCTTAATGTTTAATAAACAATTATTTAGATTAGGAGTTCCCAATGGTAAACCAGTCTGAACTTTATAGGTGGGCACAACCTGACACACATACTCTTTCTTTCTTTTTTCTTTTTTTTTCTTTTTTGCTGAGGCAGTTGGGATTAAGTGACTTACCCAGGGTCACACAGCTAGTAAGTGTCAAGTTTCTGAAGGCGGATTTGAACTCTCAGTCCAAAGCTGGAGCTCTATCCACTGTGTCACCTAGCTGCTCCTAACACACATGTTCTTTCTTACAATACTCTAAAAGCAAAAATCAATAAGGAAGTTTCTTGTCTTCAGACTATGACCATAGGACCATAGCCTATCTCCATATTCCCTTCCCATTTCTTAGGCATTTTCTCATTAGATCATATTCTCATTTAATCATGTAGTGTGCAAAATAATTTACTACCATGTAGAAGAAATCTCAGAGTATGTATGAATTCTGTAATGTTTATTAAGCTCTACCACTATAAGCTACTGTGTGCTTGGAAATGCAGAGGCAAAAAGGCAAAATTCCCGTCCTTCAAGGAGCCCACGTTTAATAGGACAAAACAACATATACACAATAAATAAAAATAATACATATTATATACACACATACATATGTATATATACATACACACACACTCACATTGCTTGGAGTCTTGAGATTCCTATGAAAAAGTGAAACTGAATATTATGTAATTATGATGACCTATCATGGCCTTGGAGAAGATATGAGAAAATGCATCTCCTACCTTCTTTGCAGAGATGGAGGACTGTGGTTGTGAAATATTGCATATGTTATCAGATTTTATTGAGTTTTTTGTTTTGCTGAACTGTTCTTTTTCCCATATCTTAATTTTTTATTACTAGGGATTATTTTGGGTAGGATGACACTATTTAAAAACACAAAAGTAGATGAGTAGAAAAGACTAGTTGAGTCTTTTAAAAAAACAGTAATATAGGGCTTGATAAAATGAAGAATATAAATTTTGGGGGAAATGGCTGCTAGGAAAACTAGAAAGCATTGTGGCAGAAATCAAGTTTAGATCACCATCCTAAACCATATATGTGTGTTATGTATATGTGTGTGTGTGTGTGTATAAGAAAAAGAAGAACTGAAGATAAAAGGTCATACCATGAAAATTTTGAGATAAGATCAAGTACTTTTCCTAACAATACTAGAATTCTTAACCAAACACAGGATAGAGATCATGAACAACTTTGACAATGTAGAATTAGAAAGCTTTTTCATGATTAAAGTCACTAAAGACAGAATTAAAAGAAAAATAGTGGTGTAGAAAAATATTTGCATCAAATATCAGCAGAAGTTGTTATCCAAAATATGCAGGTTAGTGATGAAAACCTGTAACAGTAGGAGCCATTCTCAAATAAGTAACTGGTTAAAGGATACAAAAAGTTTTCAAAAGGATATTAGGAAGTTGTAAATGGCCACATGAAAACATGCTCCAAATCACTAATAGTAAGTGTAATTTCAGTTAAAACAACCCTAATGTTTTTAATTTACTCCATGGAAACTGTCAAAGATGGGGAAAAAGATGGAAATAGTCAATGATGGAGGAGCTGTCTAGAAAGGCAGGAACACAGATGCCCTCTTGGTGGAACTATGAAGTAGTCCTGTTGTTATGAATTTCAGTTTGGAATTGTGGAAGAAAGGCGACTAATCTGCCCATACCTTTGGACCTAACAATCCCACCACTGGAATATACCCTAAACTAGTCAAAAGCAGAAATTGAGGTCCAGTATGTACAGCAATATTAATAGCAAAATGGGAAATGGCTGAAAAAAGACTATGGCGTATGAATGCATATAATGCAGTAAAAAATGTTGAATATGAAGAAATGAAAGACACATGAGCACATTTGTATGAATCGATACATATTGATATGAGCAGAACTGAGAGAATAATACACACAATGAAAATAATAGTGTAAATGAAAAGGTCACAAAAATGAAATTGAACTCTAAGAAATTGGGTTAAAAAAAAAAAGGTCTCAGAGAAAACATAATGAAACCACACTGATCCCTCGTGGCAGAGAGATAGAGGGCTAGTAGGAGGAATATTGTATAACTTGTCAGTCTCTTCAGATATTTTTTGCTTAATTTTTTTCTTTGTTATTACAAAGGAAGATTCATTCTTGAATGAGGGTGGGGGTGGGGGGACTGGACTGTGATACAATGACAAAAAGCTACAACAAATTTTGTTTGTTTGTTTTTAAATAGATTAATCTAGGTAAACTCTATCTACAGAATTTATCTGATCCACCAGTCTAGTAATGCTGTCAGAAAAGGAAATGTTGTTGATGAAGACGTACTGAATTTTGTAGATGACTACTTCCTTCCTTCTGTTTATGTTAACTAACTATTCAATAATACATTTTAGAATTTTGCCAGGAACCAAAGTCATCATTTGCACTGGCTTACACTTTTTGGGCTGGGTAATTTTTAAAAAATGTATATGGCCTTTCTCCAGTGCTATATCTCTTTGTACATAATCCTTAAAAGACTATTGACAATAGTTCAGCAGTCTTATCTGCCAGTGTTTTAGTCCTTGATAGAGTTTATATGGACCTGGTGGTGACTTGAACTCATCCAGGGCAGGTAGGAAAACATCTCTTCCATCTCTAGCAGCAGTCCTGTCTCTGAGTCTTTTCTTTTCTCCAGTGTGACTACAACCCGCCCTTATTATTATTTTTTGAGCGGTCCTCAAATTTCTTTGTCAGCCTGATCTCATCTTGAGCTTTTGTCCTCCTGGCACTATTCTCATAGAACTATGCTGGAATTTCTTATCTTGCCTGTTTCCTGGCCCTGTTTCCCTTGCCTTTACATATCGGTTGAAGTTGTTTGGTGATTTTCCTGTGTATCCACATCAGTGTCTTTTCACAATGCCTTTTTTTCCTTCTTTCTGCAGTTGTTTCTTGCAGGTTTTCTCTTCTTTCCTGGGTTGCCTTCTTTAGAATTTTAGGCCATGGGATTCTGCCCATGCTTAAACCTTTTGAAATCTCTTTTCCATAAAACTAATGTGTATGTCAGACCATGCCTAATTTTATTTCCCCCTTCTCTATCATCAGTTCTGAGATGGGGTGGTTATTTTCACCCTAGCAAGATCAGATACAGAATAGAAGTTCTCGTTTCCTTCACCTTTTGAAGCGAACTCATCGTTAGGTCCAACACAGATAGTATTAACTCTTCTGCTTTAGTCTTTGAGGAAGATTTCAGCTGATACCTAGATAATTGAAATCTCCTGCCCTCTGCCCTATGGGCAGCTAGGTGGTACAGTGAATACAGTGTTGGGCCTGGAGGCAGGAAGATCTGTGTTTCAAATGTGGCTTCAGACACTTCTAGCTGTGTGACCCTGGGCAAGTCACTTAACTCTGTTTCCCTCAGTTTCCTCTTCTGTAAAATGAGCTGGATAAGGAAATGGCAAACTGCTCCAGTAGCTTTGCTAAGGAAACCCCAAAAGAAGTTGTGAAGAGTCGGACACAACTGAAAACAACTAAACAGCAAGCAGCAAAGCTCTGCTCTAGCATGAGTCTGTGCCAGGCTTCTGGTGTGCTTCCTGAATGCATGTTTTCCCCTTTCCAGCCAGGTGATCTTTAGTATATTCCAATTACTGAATCTCTTGATCTGTGCCAAATTGCATGGTACCGTGATTCTATGAGTTTAGTGTCTTAATATACAATGCTATTCTACCCCTCTTTTTACCTTTCCTGCTTCTATTGAATAAGGTATGTCTTCTTCAAGTTATATTCCAGCCATGGGTTCCATCCTGCTGAGTTTTAGGAATAACTTTGAGGTCAAATTTGCATCTTTCCAGTAGAACCTCTAGTTCCACTTGATTGTTATCCACATATAGTGAATTTTTACGTGATTCTCTGAGCCTAAAGTGTTTAATTATTGGCTTCTTTCTTGGATTTTGCCTCCTTTTAACATCTGCCTATCCCTATCACCTCCCACATCATTCTGCCACATGTAACTACTGTATATAGCTAGCCCAGGGGTGGAGAATCTGTGGCCTCTCAAGGCCATCTGTGGCCTTCCAGGTCCTTGGGTGCCACTTTTTCACTGAATTCCAAGTTTTTACAGAACAAATCCTTTAATTAAGGGGATTTGTTCTGTGAAGTTTGGATTCAGTCAAAGGGCTGCACTTGAGGACCTAGAGGGCTACATGTGGCCTTGAGGCCACAGGTTCCCCACCCCTGATACACACACACACACACACACACACACACACACACACACACACACACACAATTTTCTCCCTCCCCCTTCCTTTTTTGATTAGATTTGCAACATTGCAGTCTTCCTTCTCTCAGGCACTACAGTCCCAGGACTGAACTTAAAGTCTCAGCAGATGGACCTTTGGCCTGGCCCTGGATGATGTTTCATTTGTGCTCTAACTGGTATCATTTGATTTGAACTAAGGTAGACCCTAAAAATAACAGGTTCTACTTTTTGGAAAGACTTTGTTTTACTCACTTAGAGTAAAAGTGAATTTAACTAATTTTATTTTACTCCTTTAGAATTAGAGAGAGGAAGAAATGATAGTTCTTTCTCAGCATCATTGGAAGTTCATTTAACAACAGATACTTATCAAGCACCATATTACATGTGTATAAGGTATTCTTTCAGGTTACACATTAAAATATAACATCTGAATGTTAGTTAATGACTTAAAACTTATTGGCTCGGGGGTGGAGCCAAGATGGCAAAGTGAAAGCAGTGACTTGCTTGAGCTCTCCCCAAACCCCTCCAAATAC